CCTAAGGGGTTACTATGAGTCAGAATCAACACAATGGCAGTGGGTTTGGTTTGGCAGGAGTTGGAGGCCACAAGGGGGAGCTGTGCATGGGGGCTCAGGAACAGGAATACGGGTGTGCATGTAGGGGAGTGCCTTCAGCAAATATTGCCTGTATACTTAGATTTCTCAAGGAGCTCTGGTAGCGTAGTGGTTACGAATCGGGCTGCGAACCTTAAACTCAGCGGTTCGAAACTACCAGCCGCTCCGCGGGAGAAAGATGAGGCTTTCTACTCCCGTAAGGATTTACACCCTCGGAAACCCTGTACAGGGTCGCGGAATACCGCTCACATCCTTGCCTTTCAGGAAGATATGGTGTCTTTTGAGAAAATCCAATGTTGTTGTTAAGTGCCATCAAGTCGTTTCCGACCCATAGTGACCCTGTGCTGTGTATGGTTCCCAAGGAGCAGCTGGTGAGTTTGAACCATCAACCTTGCAGTTCAAACGGCTTTGCAGTCTGGTGCATTAACCTACAGCACCACACCAGGGCTCCATGAGAAAATCCGATACACCTCCTTTTATTGTGCTTCCCAGATACTGCATTTTTTAACAAATTGAAGGTTTGTGGCATTCAGCGAGTCTATAAGCACCATTTTCCCAACAGTATGAGCTCACTTTGTGTCTCTGTGTCGTGCTGTGGTCATGCTAACAATAGTTCAAACTCTTTCATGCCATTCCACACTTATTAGACTACAGGATGACGTGAACCTAAGTTTTATATGCACTGGAAAATCGAAAGTGCGGCTCACTTCACTGCGATATTCACTTTATTGTGGTAGTCTGCAATCAAACCTGTAATAGCTCTGAGCTATGTGGTGCTGCTGGTTGATGCTCTGGACTGCAAAGTCTGTTTGAACTGCAAAGTTGGTGGTTCAAGGTCACCAGCTGCTCCTCAGAAACCCTATACAGGGTCACTATGAGTCAGAACCAACTCGACGGCATTTAACAATAACATGCCTGTTCCATATTTTTCTTTGCTGTTTTAAAACTATTTTATTTTTGTTGTTGTTGCTGAGACTATACACAGCAGAACATACACCAATTCAACTGTTTCTACATGCACAATTCAGAGACATTGGTAACATTTTTTTTGACCTGTGAAACCATTCTCTCCCTCCTTTTCTGAGTTGTTCCTTCCCCATTAACATAAACTCACTGCCCCCTAAGGTTCCTATCTCATCTTTTGAGTTGCTTGTTGTCAATTTGACCCCATGTGTTGTTGTTGTTAGCTGCCATCAAGTAGGTTCCAACTCATAAATGATCGTATGCACAACAGAACCAAACACTGCCCAGTCCTGCACCGTCCTCACAATTGTTGTTACGTTTGAGTTCATTGTTGCTGCCATTGTGTCAATCCATCTTGTTAGGGGTCTTCCTCTTTTTCATTGACCCTCCACTTTACCAAGCATGGTGTCCTTCTCCAGGGACTGGTCCCTCCTGATAATATGTCCAATGTATGAGAGACAAAGTCTGGCCATCCTGGCTTCTAAGGAGCATTCTGGCTGTACTTCTTCCCACACAGATTTGTTTGTCTTTCTAGCAGCCCATAGTACTTTTAATATTCTTCTCCAACTCCAAAATTCAAATATATTGAATGTTCTATGGTATTCCTTAGTCACTGAAAATGCCATGACTTGAGTCAGGTGCACCTTAGCCCTCAAACTGATATCTTTGCTCTTGAACACTTTAAAAAGATGTTTTGTAGCAGATCTGCCTAATGCAATACCTAGTTTGATTTCTTGACTGCTGTTTCCATAAGCATTGGTTGTGAATACAAGCAAAATGAAGTCTTTGAAAACTTCAATCTTTTCTCTCTATACCATGATGCTGTTGATCCAGTTGTGAGGATTTTTGTTTTCTTGACATTGAGGTGCAATCCATAATGATGGCTGTAGTCTTTGATTGTCATTAGTAAGGATTCTAAGTCCTCTTCGATTCCAGCAAACAAGATTGTATCATTTGCATAACACAAGTTGTTAATAAATCTGATTCAAAATGACCAATATCGATCCATTTCAGCTCATTAATGTTTAGGCTATCGATCTTTAGGCTTTTCCTTTTGAAAACTTCCAATTTTCCTAGATTCATACATTGTACATTCCATATTTTGGTTATTAATGGATGCTTGTGGCTCTTTCTCCTCATTTTGAGTTGTGTCCCATCAACAAATGAAGGTCCCGAAAACTTTACTCCATTCACATCATTAACATCAACTCTATTTTGAGGAGACAGCTCTCCCCCAGTTGTAATTTTGAGTGCCTTCCAACCTGAGGGGCTCATCTTAGGGCACAACGTTCACTTGCTATTCAGAAATAGTTCTTTTCTCTTGCTTCCTAGTCTGTCCTAGTCTGGAAGCTCTGCTGAAACCTGTCTACCATGGGTGACCCTGCTGATATTTAAAATACCGGTGGAATAGTTTCTAGCATCACATGCAAGTCACTGTACTATGACAAACTGGACAGATGAGTGGTGGTTAATCCCATATTTGTTGTTGTTGTTAGGTGCTATCGAGTCGGTACCGACTCATAGAGACCTTATGCACAGAAACACTGCCCGATCCTGAGCCAACCTCACTACTGTTGCCACACTTGAGTCCATC